AAAAATAAGCCTGTGAATCAGGAGCTCTTGTTCAATTTGGCAGGAATTTATATGTGTAAGTTCTTTTATATCAGTTGAAACTTATACTTAATTTGCTCATAGTTAGCATGGATGATAGCTGCGAGCAGATCCATGCAACTACAAGAATTTAATTTGTATACAACTTAATGTGAAAGATATGTCAAATCATTAATAATTTTCTCTGATCTTACTTATAATATCTAGTCAATAATGACATTTCTAATGGGTTTCTATAACAAACATTGTTTTAAATTTAATCTTGAATAGATTTTCCACAGTATATATTATGTTGCCTTGCTTGATTCGGTGTACAGATGTAGGTATAGCCAGATTTCGAAAGATATTGGATTCATTTCATCATAATAATTCTCTCTTAAATGTCTACTTTGAATCAACTATCGTTTATCTTCTTCACTAAGTTATTGATACGTATGAATATTTATTTTCAATCGAAAACTTCTTCTTTTATTAAGGGCTTTCGCATAATTCTGCCAATTTCACGTGCGTAGCCTATGAATCTATGAATGAATTATTCGCCTATGAATTATTTTATAAAATTAATTTTGTAAATAATATTTTCCAGTATAATGTTTCACTTCCTATTACAGTTTAATATTACAAAAAAATACACATATGGGGATTGTTTTAGTAGATATCCCATATTAAATTGTCATTTACAATTCAATTTTGTCAATTTCATTCTTCTTTTATTAATGGTATATCTGCGCATTTCACACAATTCAGCCAAAGTCAAGTGAATAAATTAATTTCTACATGTAAAATGAAAAAGTAATGAATGAAAGATTAATTAAAACATTGTCTGTATCATTGTGGTTTGTATTGACAAAAAGTGAATTGGTGTTGCAATATGAAAATCAAACATCGATTGGAAAATAATCGATTAATTCATTCATTATCATATTGAATAAAAAAAAAAACTATAATATACTTTTAGTTAATTTTGGTGCAATTTTGCATTTTACCTAAGTTTTACGGACTACTACAGTTGTTGATTCAACAACGCCCAAATAAATATATATATATATATATTATTATTATTATGTAATTTCCAATGCCCGTGATTGGAAATGTTATATGAAAACCTAATGAAGTCCCATAAGGTCACAATATGAACTATGAAGTTCAACTAAGTCCATGTAGTTTGATGAAGTCTGATGATATTCAATCAAGTTTAATGAATTCTGTTTAAATGGATTGAAGTTACTAAAGTCATATGCAATCATCATTTAACTTTAACATTTAATTTTTAGTACAAACAAATGTATAAATTTAATGATTATTTTTGTTGTATATTCTTTTGAAACGGAGTTGTTTAAAGTAAAGTATACACCTCTGGATTAATGCTCGTCTTAGTCTTGGACTGATTGCATACCTCACTTCTTACAGTTTGTTAGTGACTGAAAATGAGTCAAAACTTTTCTGTTCACGACCTACCCATGTAGGTACCATGTAGGTACGTTTTATTTTACGGAATCATATTATTCACTTTCATCCTACTTTATCTCACATAATAACATTTATTTTGCGAATTAAAACTCGGTATAAACAATAAAATAAACCAACACCATTCGAATTTTGAAACTTAACTCTTTAATTTTGACGTTATCTTTAGTCGACGCCAGGATTTATAGTATTTCATCTGACTTTTTTTGTTAATTAAAAGACTTAATTATATCGGATTTATGCTTTAAATATTAAGCATGTTTAAAGTTGAGTGCTTAATAATAGAATTGGGTATATGACGCTTTTCTGAAAACTAATTAATTAAAATAGTTGTTTGATACATTATAAACACACTGTCGATATATTACATGAGAATCTGTTCTATTTTCGATGAATATAATTGTTAAAATCTACAGATTATAAGAAATAAACTTTTATTAGATTATTATCTAACATGATGATAATAATACGCAACTTATTTTTATAGTGTCAAATACCCATAATGATAAAAATATTAATTATAAATTCGCGTTTCGGGTATTTTCCCTTGTAGCTTAACACTTTGGTATGCACTTTCTTAATGTAGCTAATATTCGGTTGTTTCGTCCTTATTTTAAAACGATCGAATACAAATGTAATACATTCATTATATAGTGATAAAAAAATGAATAATCATTAATCGTCTCCCGTTTAACTAATAATTTCATTTATTTTATTCTGGTAACACTAATGACAGCTGTTTGGTTCGGCTACGATTACGTTTCGATTTAGTAAACGTTCGTTTGATAATTGACGTTAGCAGAATGCAAATTTACAGCAAAAATCGAAACGTAACCGTTACAGAAACGCTATTGATGATCGATCGTTGTAAATTAGTAGAATTGGCCCCCAACTAGTTGATTTTAACTATAGTTGACATATAGAACTACGTCAACGGGTATGAACTTTGGACGAAGTTTAACGGTTTAAATTGTTTTATTGAACCGTATATCAATATTGAAAAGTAAACATTCTTGATCATCTGTACCTGGTTATAGTTTTTTTTTCGTGTTAACGTAAGAATATCTATGGTCAGGTAGGTTATGGTTTTATTTTGTACATCTGTGGTTATGATGGTTATGAAGGTAAGGATGGATGGCTTAACAGTTCCATGATTTTTTATTGTCGAAAGACAGCGCTAGTATTCTAATTAGATATTGTTTTGGGTTTTGTAATTTAAACGAAACCGTATTATTAAGTCTTCGCTGTCCGTCCGTCTGTCTGTCACCAGGCTGTATCTCATGAACCTTGATCGATAGATAGATAGTTAAAATTTTTACATAAGATTCATTTATTTTGACAATAATGAACAAATACTAAAAACAGAATAAATATTGGCTTTTATTTAATAAAATAATGTTTTTGCTCGATATCGATACTTGCAGCGAGATGACCCTTGAAATATTTACCGAAGATTTGTCCTATATACGTATTCACTTTAAAAATAAACAGTTAAATTAAAATAAAATAAATACTCAAGTTGGCTCCCGTACAAATACAACAGATTTTTTTTTTTGCCGTTTTATAATGGTATGTACGGATCTCTTCGTGTGCGAGTCCAACTCGTACTTAGCCGTTTTTTAAACACACAGTTAAAATAAATATTATGTAATTTTTCTGTAATAGGATAATTATTAATTAAAATAATAATTAATTAAAATATTAAATTAATGTATCACTATATAATTCGGATGCAAAAAAAGACAAAAAAAAAACTTGTGACAGAAAAAGTTAACTTATACTAAGTAGTAAAATTCTTAACACCGCCATGTCAAAAAATGTATAACACCATCTATCGGGGACTAACGTAAACAAACAAAGTCTAACATGTATTTAAACAAGGCCTATGTATTAGATACGCGTGTTCAAATATCTACTTTCTTCCTTTGACTTTAGAGTGTAAATTATTTTAGCTGTCAAAGTTACATGAAATTTTAATAATGGAAACAACCGCATTCCATTGTATTATACAGATAAAGTTATGCGTTGCAGTTTCGTAACATGTTTATAGATGAACGGTGCGTTCTTCTTTTAGCCGCCGACTTTTTAACTGGTTGTTTTATTGTATTATTATACGACAAAACTAAAGCGTTGTAGTCTAGGTGTACGTTGATCAACCAACGTAACGCTCTTCATCTGATCATTGAAAATTCGACTAGTTGAATTATCAACTATAGTTAACGTATGCAACTACGTCGACAGGATGGACGTCGACGGATGGGAGTGTGCGTTTATTTATGAACTACAACCAACGTACAAATATTAACCTTATTGGATGGACTATATAGACTTTCGCAGTTGGCCGAACTACTTCACGTTAATGGATATAAAAAATAATATAATATTTATTTTGTGTAAGATCGTAGTTACCTAGGTGTAGGTATAATAGAAGAAATTTACGGTTTCATGTTTTTTAATAATCTAACTAGAAATCTTTAATAAATATTTTATTATATTTATCAATAAATATTATTTTTCGTCTATAGTGATATGTTTTACTATTTTAACATAATTTATAGATATATTTATAATAATTATTTAGGTTTTGTTTGTTTTGGTTCAAACTAAAATTATTAATCTTAATATTTAAAATTATTCATATAACAGTTGCCCAGAGTGAATTAAATTCTCTAAAATAAAAAAAAATCTATAAACGTTCTTTCAGAGAAAGAAAGATTAGATAGAATATTCAGACAAAAAAAAAATCCCAAGGAAACCCTAATAAAACCCACAATTGGACGAGTATATGCAAAACTAAAGAAAAAAAATATGTTACAACAATAGTTGACCTATACTAATTAGTAAAATTCTTAACACCGCCGTGTAGATAAATACAAGAACTGTATAACACCATCTATTAGAAACAAATGTAAACAACAATCACATTTGACATTCATATTTACAAGGCCTATGTATTAAACGCGCGTATTGAAATATTTACTTACTGTCATTGACTTTAGAGTTTAAATTATTTCAGCATTCAAAGTTACATCGAATCTTTATGAATGGAAAATGATGCGTTGCAGTTTCATAACATGTTGATAGACGAACGGTGGGTTCTTCGTTAGGCGTCGATTTTTAAACTAGTTAACCAAAGAACTGTCAACCGTCGACGCGTTGATTCTACGTTAACGGTTGATTTAACTAGTCCGTTGATTCAACGCCCATCGCTAATGACAACCCTTCCGGTTTTCTTTCATGTTTAAAAGTAAATTAGTTTTCAAATCTCAATAAACAACTCATATTTTATTTGTACTATTTCGTATTCGTATTGATATCTAAGTTTCGAACTTTTCAAATTTCAATTTTTTAATATGTTAGTTAAAAGGAAAAGAAATTACTGTGTTTGGTCCATTCGTTTCCTGCAAAAATCAAGTTTTGCTAGAGTCGCCATCTAGTGGAGGTGCTTTTTTGGTGCTTTCGTTTTTTTTTAAATAGGTACCTACTACCTTATTCTCAATGACCTTGATTGTCTGTGACTGACAGACAATGCAGACACCTGACAGAGCAAATGACATTGATAAGTATGACACTTGTTGCCTTGCTCGCCTTGCCATGTTGCTTGAATTTTCACTTTGAGTGAACTGAATCCGTTTTTGCTCAAATGAGGGTGACGTGAACAGAAACGAAAGCAATGTCCTTCTTTCGAAAATATAACTGGACTATGTGGCTAACATTAACGCTGTAAATTTAATCAAGATGTTTTCGCGGAACGTCTCGCGTGTTGTCAAATACGGGTTGTATGGTACTGTAGGAATAGGTGGAACTGTTGCGGCATTGAAATTACAAGAAAATGAAATCGGTACCCATGCAGTCGTTAGGATCACAAGGACTGCGTTAACTGCTATAGAAATTGGCAGAACATATCAGGAAATGCTTTACAGCAAAGATTGGGATAGAACATCTGCCGAATATGAAGAAGCAAAGAAAGCAGCCCATCAAATAGGTGCAAATAAATTATTGGAACTTTGCAGAGCTAATAAAGGCGTGTATATCAAAATTGGTCAACATGTAGGTGCAATGGATTACTTATTGCCCACTGAATATGTATCTACCATGAGGATTTTACACAAAGATGCACCAAGGAATACTGTAGAGGAGTTGTATAAAGTAATAAGAGAAGATTTGAAAGCAGAGGTTTGTATGCAAAAATGAGTTTTAAGTAAATAAATTTTGAACAAGGGAATACAGCTTCCATTACTTTTATTTAAATTTATCAAAATTAACTATCTCTAATTGCGTTTATAAAAAGTCAACCTTATTGTAAGTAGCTGTGTTTAACTATTAAATAATATTTGCCAGATTTTCATGAGAAATTGTGAATTAATACAACTGCTGTTATGTAACAACATGTTTATATCTTTTTTGCATTTGATAATAATGTTCTTATTATTATACCAATGCAATGTTTGTTTAGAACATATTTATTTATTAATTAAATTGTTTTAATAGACATAGGCTTTTAAAAATGTTGGTTGACCATATTTTGGAATACAACTGGTGCTCTCTATATTAATAAAAGTTGATGTTTACAATTTACAGTATCTAAAAAATATCTTTTGAAGTATAATTAAGGTTATTGATGGTCTCAGATAAATAATCATTTTGTTTGCTTATTTCAGTTAATTTTTTTTTGTATCTAAGCATATAATTAATAATAATGTTTTTAGCCTCAAGAATTATTTACTGAATTTGATCCTGAACCACTTGGAATAGCTTCTCTTGCTCAGGTACATAAAGCTAAGCTTCAAGATGGTACAGTAGTAGCTGTCAAAGTTCAACATCACTATGTTAGGAAAAATATAAAATTAGATTTAACATGGATGGAGTTTGTCCTCAAGACAATGTCCATTGTATTTCCTGATTTCCAAATGCAGTGGCTTATTGATGAAACGAAAAAGAACATAGAAAAAGAATTAAACTTCATACAAGAAGGTGAAAATGCTGAAAAAGTTGCAGTTTTGTTTCAAAATTACAAATGGTTGAAAGTGCCCAAAATATTTTGGGATTATAGTACTCAGAGGGTTTTGGTTATGGAATATATTACTGGTGGGCAGGTGAATGATATAAAATATGTTGAAGTGAGTATTTAAAATAAAAAATTTGAACAATTCTAAGTATCATAATGGCATTACAAAATGAACTTTATAATTAAATTATAGACTAAAGTTACTACTTGGTTTAAATAATTGGCCTCCTAAAGGAAATTAACAATGACAGAAGGGAAAACATCAAGATGAGACATGTCAAGTTATTTTGTTCAGATAATTGTTTAAACATGGTATTAAAATCTTGACTAGGGTAGTTTTTAAAGTCATAATTACAACTTTAAAGACATTGCTTGAATATAATTGAAAATGTATTGAACACACACACAATAACATATTTAACAAAAAAAAAAATTGCTTTTACTTTACTGATTCTTTAATAATTCTTTTGAGCCAAATATCTGTGATTTAAATTCTCAAAATAGTTTCCTTAAATATGTGCCAATATTATTACTTGTTAGGGGCGCTATCTATATCATTTTAGTAAATTGAAAATATAAAGGTACTGGACACCATGAAAAAGTTATATACACACATCAGACTATACATTGTGAACTTTGTACTGACCACGCTATTAACAGAGGTCTGCTTACGTGCACCAGTGTATACTTAATCTATTGTAATATAAACAGCTAACATATATTTCAGGAACACAAAATAAATAAATTGGATTTATGTAAAAAGCTGGGTGATTTGTATGCTCATATGATTTTTGTCACTGGATTTGTACATAGTGACCCACATCCTGGTAATATTCTTATACGGAAAGAACCGGATGATAAAGAAGTAACAGTATTCTTGTTGGACCACGGTTTGTATGCTGTAAGTTATGCTGCATGTCAGGATATTCTAGAATAGAATTAGATTTTTATGGCTTAGAGACTACCATAAACATAGGACACTAATATGATTACATACAATCTCGGGCTTATAATAAGATTTTAATGGTGTAAATTAATAGATAAAAAGTTGTCTATCCCTCACTGAAAATTCTGTGAGTTAAGACAATTTGGGAGCTAAGGTAATAGAGGTTCAGTGAAAGTATCTAAGGTTATAATAATAATCCACTTCCAGATTCTTAACTGGGCTGATTTTTAGTTAAGATAAAAAATATGACAGTTTTTTTTATCAGACCTCATCTTATTACTACTCAAAACCTTCCAAGAGTATGAAAACTAAATCATAGTCATTTCTCCTATAACATGGTAATAAATTCATCTATGTTTCAATTTTAGCAACTCAGTGATACATTTAGATATCACTACTCCAAATTATGGCTGTCAATCATTAAAAAGGATCGCACTGACATGAAATATTTTGCATCAAAGCTGGGAATACGTGAAGAGCTATATGTGATTTTCGCCTGTATGGTAACAGGCAGGCCATGGGAATCTATTTTGAAAGGCATAGGTGATACACGGCCAAGTTCTCATGAGGTATGTTGTGTAGCTTTAAAGTACTGGTATTATTAAAAAGAAACAGTTTTCATTACACCATAATCGGTCCAGGTCAGACTGATCTTGCGACCTTTAGGTCATCTGCATATAAAAATAGGGTTAAATATAGTAAAAAACCATCATTCAAATATGTTAAACAAGACAGGTCCCAGGTGAGAACCTTGAGGCACGGCGGAAGTAATATTATACTTGGCCGAATTGTAACTATTGATAACTACTAAAAAACTTACAACTTAGTGTAACTAGCCAATTTATTAGTGAACCTGACAAACCATATGATTCAAGCCTTTGTGCCAAGGTATTAAGATATCTAAAATATAATGAAAGGCTTTACTTAACTCTTTGTAGACTACATCAATTTGTTTTGGGAGTCAAGGGCTTCTTATGTTGTTTCAGTAAAAGAAACTACTTTCGTACTGGTATATCTCATTGGTACAAAACTATACTGAGGAGTAATGATTACTTATGTTTATTGTGGTTTAAGTCTTAATATTCATTCGAAAATTTTAGACAAGACATAAATAGCGGACCTTATTATGTGTTTTCATACTTGATACACATATGCATGGTAGCATGGCACTGTGTAGTGGAGAAAATCCTTCATACACAGTATATGAAGACTTATCTATCCTATCCTCTTTCAAATTAACTTATTTATTAAAATGAATATATGGTTTGAAGAATAGTGAAATATGTTTTTGTGTACATTCTAATGTAAAAGTGAAGGGATTTTTTAGTCCTACAACAAAGTTTTCACTATTTAAAAGTGCAATGAGGTATTATTTTAGTTTATATACCACTGACTTGTATAATAATTGCTGTTTCAAGTCCACGTGTTAAACATTATTCACGTTAGATTGTTTGAAACGGGTATTAACGCGATAGTTAGGTTTTTTTCACCTACCTATATTTCTCGACGTTTCGACCGGGTTACATCGGCCATCGCAGCAACAGCCAGCCCGTGACAACGGCCGGTGTAACCCGGGCGAAATGTCGGGAAATATAGGTAGGTGAAAAATCTATCAATCTATCGCGTTAATATCCGTTTCAAACAATCTAATATAATTAAACGCGAAAGTTTAATAAGATTATCCATGAGTGATATGAAATTGCATACACCTAATTTGTATTTACGTAATGTTAGTAGTCTTCCTTTTTATTTTAATCAATCCCATATTGTAAAGTTTAATAATACATTCCACATTTCTGCATCGTTAAATGTTACTTTCAGAAAACTGTATTTCAAAATGAGCTCCCAAATTTCATCCACTATGTGACGCAGTGCCTGGAAAATGTCGACAGACAAGCGTTACTTGTGCTACGTACAAATGACTTAATTCGCAGTATTGAGTATGCGCTGGGTGTGCAGGAGAAAATGTGTGGTTTCACTGTTATGACCAAATGTTGTATGATGAGTGTTTATGACTATGAATATAAGGTAATACAATATTCTTTTAATATCCCCACTTCGAAATTTCTTTTTTATAAAATAGATTTTTTTTTCTTCCTCTTTATTACCGAGTTACAACTCTAATCACAGGCAGCCATGTATTCTATACTCTAGTATAGTAGCTCTATGACATAGCCTCCATCAAGTGATAATTTTTTAGCGGGTTTTTATTTTATTAAAAAATACTTCCTTATTACAAAATGTTTAAAACCTTTGTTTTTTTATAAAGTATCTGATAATCTATATAAAAAACAAGTTTTATTCTAACAAATTTTGTGAGAGGTTCGAAGCCTGTGTTAAGGCTTCTGAGACTAGAATTTTCTTATATTTTTGAATTTATTAAATTTTGTTTTTGTTCCAGAATTCTGATTCGGTGATTATCAAACAGTTTCTGACGATAAAATATGGTTTTACATTGTTGCTATTCTATTTGTATACATTATACAAGAGCCTCATGGAGACATGTTGCAATGTATTATAACAATAGTTACAGACTTCAATTTAGTGTAAATAATGTAATAACGCCATAAATATTTCTACATTTATGGAGAAATAAGGTATGAATGGTGATGGTGATCTTTATATGAAATCTGATTAGGTATGATGACAATCTATTTATTTTTAAAAAGTAAGAATATTTTATGAATAATGGCTGTTTTTTTTTGAAAAGAAGCACTATTATACATAGTTTAAAATTTAATGCTTAGTTTTGGGTGCTAAATAAAACTCAATTTTATAGCATTTTTAAACAATACTTACCATCAAATTTAAAAATCTTCGCGCACTGTTGTATTATCTCTGAACAAAGTAAAATTATGCTGTGAAATGTTGACTTCTGGCATGCTAAACTTAATTTTAAAAATATTTATAAAATCAAGCTTTTATTTAAGCTAATGTTTAATATTGTCCTAAGAAAAAAATGTAGCTCACTTGAACGATTGCGGTCATTGTAATTGCGGCGCACACGTTTGATACATATTTTTAGAAGAATATGTAATCCGCCATTTTGTTGTGGCCATTTTGTATTTATAACGATACTATCCAAACCATCTGAAACTAAGAAGAGATAAAGCTTTGTTTATATTTAATAGGATTTTTGTAAATAACAAAGACAAACGAAATGAATGTATTAACTTTGTAAAGACCGTTATGTTAAAAGAAACAAATGGAGATCAATAATTACAGTCTAGCTCAGTGAAACAGAAGTGCGCGAAATTTTTTCTGTTCGATTTAACAAAGCTGAACTGAGTCTAATTTAGCAATATAGATACATGAATTCATATGTATTACTACTGGATTTATTACTGTCGTTGATTCATTGTTTATATTGAAATTGGTGCGTTGTAGACGAGTATTTTTAGACAATGTTTATAAACAAACATATGATATATTGATTTGTTTTGCAATTATGTATTTCATCAGGGAACTTTTTAAACCAAAATGGGTAATGATAAAAAATTATGTATGAAGTAATCGTTAAATTTTACCAAAACGAGGCAATATAGTAATTTTTTACTTAAGTAACCCACCGACAGTAGATTCTGGATCTTCGGTAGTAGTGACAGCACATTACTATGGGTATGTTCCGATATACACTACGAGCACTGCGCAGTTGTCTTACTGCTGAAAAATCCGTTCCGTTATGGACTGCCAGTATACTGCTACAGTACCCTAGGGAAATTCATGACGTCATAAATTGCCGCCATATTTGTACTGTGAGCACTGGAGATTTCGAGGTAAGGTGCTCGCAGTGCTTTTGATCACGTGATCAGTCGAAACAGAATCAGAAAATGATAAGTTTCTAAATAAACAAAAAAAAAATATACTTACGTTTATTATAAGATGGATTTAATTGATAAATATTTTTTTTATTCACAATTTTATAATATTTTCTTTTGAAAAGAGGGAATCTATATTTATATTCACCTTGCATTAACAAATTTGTAAATGGAGCCAAAAATAGGATTAACAGTATACTGGACTGCGTTCCGTTTAAAAAAGTCACCAGTATAACCAGCTATAAAGGAACGGGCTTCCAGTATACTAAATTGACGTCATACTGTTCAGTGGTCCCAGTGTATATCGGAACATACCCTAAAATAACTACGAAGTTTAGATAATTAAAAATCAAGAGTATATAGACTGGTCAAATAATAATTCCTAGTCAAATAATAGTCGAAGAAGTTTCCCTCATTTAGGTATGTGTAGTAGGTCTACATTTAAAATATTTGTAAATAAGAATCAAATTGTCTCAAATTTTTGTACAGTAAATCTGGATGTTATTTTTCATAAGCTGTATTGTATTATATTATTGCAAAATAAAAGAAACATCATTTATTCATATTGGAATTTTATTCGTGAAACAATTTAATATTTACACTGGAATTCTGTTTTCTAAATTAGACAATTTATTGCTCAAAGTACATAGATCACTTTGTATTTTTAGTAGGATATTTGTGAAACTATCCCGATTTCTTCTTCCAAGTTTAAAGACAGAGGTACTTGATATTTGACAGGTTATGTCCGATTTGTAATCTGTCTTCAATAAATTCAAGCACTTTTTATCTGAGAACGGAAAGTTGTTCGCTGGCATCGTTTCTTTTGACACTGCACAGCTTACTGGAACTAAAAATGATAATTATTGCTTAGTATATAAATATACTTTCACCTGTTTGGTAATTATTCTTTTGTACAAGCTAAATTTAAATTCTTTATAACTAAGACATAACTAAGATAACACAAGTCAGCTTTATAACTATATTCATTATAAATAGAAGAGATTTGTTTGTTTATTTTTGAAAAGACTCTGAAACTACTGGACCGATTTTAAAAATTCTTTTACCTACTGAAAGCTATAATTTACATGGTAACATAGGCTAGAATATTGCATGGTAAAACAGCTAATAATTTATAATTGTATTATTATTAATCATGGTTGACAATTGGTAACATGAATCACGAATTTCCCTGTTATCCCATAAAATAATTTATTTTTTTACCATTTTCATTAGCAGCAGATATTGCATTGTCACCTAGCTCTTTTTCTTCCCTTACACTGGTAACGCTGCTGTTTATGATGCTCTCTCCGTTGCCCAATGTCAGCATGTTACGCATAATAGTTACTATAATCATATTCAATCAAATTAGCGTTTAAATTGACGCTTCAAACAAGTTCATTTTAAACATTAACTAAAAGAGCAAAATTCTACTTGGCAATTTCATGGCTATTTTTTCTAATTCCAGGCCTCTGAATTTCAATAATACACATGATTTTTTTTTTAAATTTCATTGTTGCTATTCTATTTGTATACATCTGTAAGTATCGGTAAGTTTATAAATCTTAATATCGTCGGGAAAAACAAGACGGTCGACATTAATAGTCCTATAGAGAAGATCATTAATGAATATCAAGAAGAGTAGCGGTCCCAGATTAGATCCCTGTGGCGCTCTAGAACCTAATGTACGCCACATATGCGACTGTATAGTATAAACTGTAGAGGTTATAACGCACGTCCGTTGCGTGTATGAAGATGTTCTGGTGAAGCGGTTTGGAATTTAGTATGTGTATCGTAATCGTTGGACGGGTCACTCAAAAGAATTGATTTTCAATGTTGCTCCGATCGCCTACGTAGCTTTAAAAACTGCACAGATCTCACACGCGCTCTGATAAATCGTTGCCTATGGGGCTGCCACAGAAAGTTAAGACATGCTTACATTGTGGCCGTGCTTCCGGCATCCAAACCTCTAAGATGTAAGGATGATGTGGATGATTGCCTTTTCGCAGTTGAGTGAGCGGTATCTCTTTGCCATCAGTTGTCTTTAATACGATCACTTCTTCGCAGTAGTCAGGCAGATCAAGCAAGTGCCATATTTTTTGTCGCAGTGCAAATATCGATGCGTTAGGTTTTACAGCTATGTAACGTAGTCTATCTTCGAGATCTATAGAAGTTAAAAGCATATTTCTATATTTTTTGTACATTACTATTTGTTACAAGGCCAAATCTAAAATCTACTTATTCAGAAAATAATTAAACAACCCAACAACTTTGCTGATTCCTAACCAATAGAATAATAATAGAGATCTTGTCAGCCCTCTTAAAAGGTGTATAAAGTAGATCACAAACTAGGTTATGTTATGACTTTACTCTCAGCTAGAAGTGGTGAGACATTTGAATGGACCGTTTACTATAATAAAATGTATCTGGGCGTAATATAATACTGAAATACTTTGCTAAAGATGACATTCGTGGTCAAATCAAAAATCGACAACGACCAGGAGTGCGAACTCTAGCTGCCTACGACATCTTACCGAATATTATGATGAGATTTCGTTTCATTTTACTAATTTTACGTCTTTCGATGGATAAACGACCAAATTGGCAAACACTACTGTCAAATTAATATAGCTGTCAAAGTAGTAGGTAAAATGAAACTTCTTAACGATGTCGTATCCTATGGTCAGAATTAGGTGGTCGCTCTGCTGGGCTAGCACTTTATAGAAGCATTACAATTCATTCTTGTTGATGTTATACTGCTCGATGGCGGAGTGGTCAGTGCGTTCGATTTTCGATGTGGTGGTTAAACATTTTTACAAGGACCCATGATAGAGGGAGGAGATCGATTGCGCCGTGGCATTTTCTGCTTACCCACGTCAGGTGTCCCCATAGCCATTTTTTATTTTGTCTTAAAAGCAGGAGGGAGGTAGTCCTGATTATTCTTAAGTTAGATCACAATAGTTCGTAAAGTTATTAAGGAGCTAGCGCACTCGGTCTGCGAAGTGACTCGGTAAGCAACATTCACAATGGCCTGTCATAGGATGGGTAACCAAAAATTTTTTATCTCGGAGGAGTGCTTCGGAAAGCATTTTAAGCCGTTGGTCTCGGTTGCATCTACAGTCGTTAATACCCACCAATCCGCACTGGGCCCGCGTGGTAGGTCATGGCCCATTTCTATTCGATTCGATTCCATCAATTGGAAAGGCCCGAGTCTCAGCAGTGGGTTGTTAATAGGCTGGTAATGATGATAACCCGTCATAGGACGGCTGACTAATTTATTATCTCGAGCTCCTCTGAGCTTTGGAAAGCACATTAGGTCGTATAACTCATCAATACACACTTGTTGAATGTTATGATGACCCGTTCCTTGTCTGATTTCATCCATAGTGAAGGCCAGGTTTTTAGATTTAAAGGAAAATTAAAAATATAAATATTTACTTACTACCCAAATCATGACGTCGGATGATGAGAAAAGAGATAACTTCCTTCCGAAACAGTTTAATCGGAGCTTTTATTAGTTTAGTTAGAGACATCGTTCGTCATTTCTGGGATATCAATCGTTAGAAACTGGTTTCAATATATTAAAATAGCATATTCTTTCAAAATTTTATTACATACATCTCAAAAACTTTCACTTTAAAAGAGCATATCGAAAGAGTAAATAAAAAATTTGTTTCTCTGTGGTGTAAATATTTAAAGGGAATCCGAGTTTGAAGGTTAAGTTTTTATATGATAAGAGAGAAATGTGACTGATGCAGTCGAAAGATAATCTATTTTTTTATATCTACAGTCACTTTAACTTTGCCGAAATAGTTACGGACAACAATACAGCACTAAAGTACAGTCTTAGATTATATAATATCAGTACAATATATAATTAAAGTACAATATCTATATAAGAATTTTATCCCAGAGGACACTTTATTATTTTTGTAAAATTATGTAATTATGCTATGCTATATACTTTGATTTATACATATAATCAATTTTATCTACATTCAAATCGAAAAATTCGAATTACGAATTCAAAGACGATTCTATACGTACGCACATTATAAACGCATATACATAAAATTAAAAATAAAACTCATTATAGTACCGCCAACTGTATCATAAAACTCATTTTAGTACCGCTATCTTTTTTATGCATTAAACTAGGCTATGGTTTTAGGCTGAATATGAAACAAAGTGTTTTTGAACTTGGGATTCCAAAAATTTACTTCCTAGTAACCTACTTACTTTGTTTAATTTCAATTTCTCTTATGAGTGAATATAAAGTAGTGTATGAAACTGCATATAACTTAGGTATTAAAACACTCGAGTCAACCTATTATCGCAACCAACAAACTCTCGTGTTTTAATATGACGGTTGCATAATCTACTCTTATGATACCTACTGTCAGTTCAAAATAATATACATACATAGTATATAGCGCAGAAAATTAAAAAGTAGGGGTGGGTCATGGCCCATTCTTCCTAATCGTTTTCATTGATATCCCTATCATGAGGTGTCTGTGCGCCACTTTTACATCATTATCTCCTACATGCAGCTATGATATATTATTAAATGTAATTACACTTAATTATAAATTCAAGAAATGTTAAATTCGTACATGTGTTACTAGCCAGGCTCAGATTACGAAAATGATGATTTTAGCGCCCCTTTGACAGTCGCCCTTGCTACTTCCCCCCTAGATCCGGCCCTGATGCTAGTGCTGCAATCTAGTGACAGAAACTTGCAGTAATATACTCTATAATTCGTGCAGATATTAATGTTTAATAATAAGAAAGAACGTTTTATTTAAATATAATTTATTTGGTAGGTAATGCTAGTCTTAAATATATATTAAACTAATAACAAAGTTGATACTATGTAATATTATTCTAGTTTTTGAGCTTGAATTGCAAATAATAACATTTGAGAGTTAACAAATGACCACCTATTTTGCAAAAAGTTGTAGAATAGTCCATAAATCAGTTCAACATGACAATTATCTGAAAAAGAAAAACCACATTAAAGAATTAAGCTGTGTAATTTTAATTTTTTATTCACTCTTATTATAATGGGAATAAGGTCTATGTTTACCTTGTGTGAAAACTTGTCAAATCAAAAATAGGCATTTGATTAATTCTTTGCAGAGCTGACATTTTTATCTAATAGAAAAACACTTATACATTTTGTAGTCTCAAAGAATCGAGCCAGGAGTTGAAGCCACGGCTTTTCCTTAATAGCACTGACCAATCAGCAAGTATATACTTTGCATTACATTGTTAGTAAATATATTCTAACCTAAGTAGCTCGGTGGCGTAGTAGATAAGTGATGCGACCCGCGATCGTTTTTGTTAAGTAACTTTCGCAAGGGTCAGTCACAGGATGGGTGACTAAAATGCATGTTAAGCCTTTAATCCTGGCTGCATTTACAGTCGTTAATATCCTACAATCCGCATCGGGTCAACATGGTCATGACCCAACCTATGATGGCTTAACCATGAGCCTCTGTAGTGGAGACGTAAAAGGGCTGATGCTGATATTTCTAGAAATGTTTACTGTTTAGGAAAGCTACAAATATGAGTCGATTAAATAAAAAATGGGTTGGCAAATTTTTATATTTAAAATACTATATTGTAATGTGTTATAAAACATAAATTACCTATAATTTAAAATCAACTTACTTCTTTCTAATAGGAATGACATCTCATTAGGTGTGACCAGCATATCGTAGTGGTGGGTTCCTTTGGGTACAATATTTAATACATATTCAGATATACAGATTCCAAGGATTTGTGTTGCTCTCGTCCGATTTGGTGTTGTGAAGAATATACGACCACCAGGCTTCAACACACCAACACATGATTTTATGAACAATTCTTTGTTGGCAACATGCTCTATCACTTCAGATGCCACTACGCCATCATAATATTCATTGTGATCATTAAGGTGTTCCTAAAATGTGCATATAATAAATTAGGTGTAATCAATACTGTATTTGTAGTCGTTTATACCCTCCAATCTGCATTGAGCCAGTGTGGAGGGTCATGGCCCATCCTTCTTAACCATTCATAAGAAAGGCCTGTGCCCCTACAGTGGGGACGCACTCAGTGCACAAATTTATAGTAGTGAACAAACTATAGGTATAATAAGAGAAAACGATTTCCCCCGCTTATATTATAGCCTACTAGCTTTTCCTCATCAGCTTCGCCTACATGGTCTTGTATTATAGATAAAAAACTTCCTTTTGAACCATCCTGTCCTTTCTTAATGAAAAATGCTTAAAAAATCCACTTTGCCCCTGGACCCATGACCTTTCGCAATCGGGGTGACTGGTCTAACCACTGAGCTACCCAAGACCTAATGGGACTGTTGAATTTTTCAAGTACTTATTACTTTTTTACTACTACAGAGCATATTTTCATCAATGTTCAGGCATTGCCAGGGACAAAGTCGATTTTTAAGCATTAAGAATATTTTTCAGTATAGCATTGTGAATGCAAAATTAATCAAATATAATCACACTCTCTATTACAAAAAACATTAAAATCCGTTGTGTAAGTTTAACAACCATACATACTAAGGACAGAACAACGGAAAGCAACTTTGTTTTGTACTATGTATTAATAAAATAATAAAACAATGATAGGCTAGTATTTATAATCTTACTTTGTCACAAGACAGAGTCCTCTTATAATGCTTACAAATATTTGTTTTCTGTTTGTCTATTATATATACTTTACCTCAACTGTAGTGCATACATATTTAGGTTTATTAATCAGCTTAATATTTTCCTGACAGTGCTCTTGAGCTATATCTATTAGATTTCTACTTGCATCAATACCCGTGACTTCTGCACCAATTTTAGCCAAAGCCTAAAAGTATAGGAAGCAGTAAAAAGCTATTCAAAGGATATAAATAATACATAGTAAGGGGAATATCTATATCAATGGATGTGTGCCTTATGAAAATTAAAATTACATTGTCAATTTAAACAACACATTAAAAATTTCATTACCTCTGATAGTATACCACCTCCACAACCAACATCTAATATTTTCTTATCTTTTAGTGGTGTTGGAGTTCTATCCTCATAAGGACATTGTACAAGACCATCTCTAATAAGAGGCACTCTGGAATGTGAAAAGGATGTCTATAAAAATAAAAATAATAATGACCCAAGTTTTCTTCTGAATAAAAATCTAGGCTGGGAGTGATTTAAGAACTCAAAACCTGTTATTAAATTTTTCCTAAGGAATAATGTTAAGATTAATTTAATAAAAATTTGTTAAAGTAGGTGTTTGATTACCTAATCGCATTCATTGAATGTAAAGCTTTTGCAGGTCCATTTAGATTCCACCAATCTTCATTTTGATTAGAAAACATTTTGATCTCATCTTCTTTTATTGTTGAATTTTCTGTTTTCGCTGCATTGGCACTTGTTATTGACTTACTAAGGACTGGGGTGTCACTGCAAATTGAATGAATTATGCACTATCCATTAAATAATTTTTAATACATTTTTATTATTGTACTTACAACATGACATTTTTTAACCAATGGTTTTTCATAAGTTTTCTTATTTGTGCCATATTTAAGGAAAAGACACTTACTCTGAAATAAATAAAACATCAATTAAGAAACTAGGTATAGATTATCTTAGGTATATTCTAAGTTTGTTTTTGTATTTAATTGTAATACCAAATTAATTGATCGGCCTCAAATATATAACAAAGAATTTTCTTATATCTATTCACGATTTTAGTAACTATTAGATTAAAAGAAGATCCGAAACATAAAAATGCAGATGAGTGTTAGGTAAGGACGTCAGTAGATAACAAGCAAAGCATTAAATAAAACAATTTTACGATTATTAAGATGGCAATTTTTGTTCTTCTTCTTCTTTTTTAATTCATGGCCTATGGGGTCTATCTGCGTTTACACCATTGGTTTACACAATTCCGCCGTCGCCAATAGGTAATCAAAATAATTATCATTTCAGTCAAATTGACAGCAGGGCAGTGTTACCAACTCCCAACAAAATAAAACCCTAAAATCAAACTCAAATAACCCTAAATAACTCTGAATGGTGTAATCAAAAGCTCCAAAAACAGCCCTGTCCTGCTTGTATTACCCACCGATTAATGGTATTGTTTAAAAAAGTTTTCTGTTTTATTAAGATTAAAGAATAAAATAGACCTCAGTTTTAAATTAATTAACTTTATTAATTTTAATTATTTAAAAATAAATCTTCAAATAATTTTATAGGTTCACTTTGGACATCAACATTCAGTTCAATAACTTTTTTCAATTTATCTCTCAAAAATAACAATAACGCTTTAAACGATATATTTTGATCGCAAGACAAATGTTATATGGCAGAGATCTGCTCTGCCATATAACATTTGTCTTGCGACTTAGCAAGTAAAAACAGTAAATTTAACTCATCCCATTGTTCTAGCTTCGTAACGTGCCAGCCACCGTGTCACACTTAAACCTTGTATTTTTTTTGGTGATTGATTATTGTTGTAGCTGAACCAATACCAAAAATTTTAATTGCCGAGGTAATAGTTGAGCTGCATTTTCAGCACACAAATGAAGTGAATGGCTTACACACTTTACAATCTTAAAAAATGTTGTGAGTATTTGCCTTTGTTTAGATGAATAAAACGCACCATAATACATAATGTTTTATTATGACTAAAATCATCCCAAAACACAAGCAATAAACCATGACGCGAAATTAAAATTACAGAAGATGCAAATATATTAGAAAATGTCATATTGAAGCCATAGCAATATGCATATATAGCCCACAGACATACACGCACGTCCAGCTAAACATTTGTTTCTATATAAAGCACAATTGGTACCTGTTTGTCATATAATTTAACGTTTTGTCGAATTTGAAGAAAAAACATAGTTCTTTTGTATGTTGCAAACGATGTTAATTATTCTATTTTTGATTGGGTAATTTAATCAAAAACTGTTTTTTTTATTACTAATTTATTGAATTTTTTTGGCACTAAAATTAGCCCTAAATTTTCTTAAGCCCCAAAAAAAGCCCAATTAGTTTATTTCCAACCTTAATTTGGGGCTAAAAGCCCTAAGTTGGTAAGCCTGCAGTAGGGATGAATGATATATCCAAAGATGATTGAGAAAACCGATATGTATATATCGATGCACAAAAACATTGATAACGATGAAAATTTCAAATAAATAAAAATAAAAAAGCCCAGAAAGTAAATGTATATCGGTTATCCTTGTCAAGTTCGTCTTACGAAACTAGATTCGCAGTGCTGGAGTCAAACGTCTGAGTCCCCAAAAATTTAGTATAAAATTAAAAGAATTGACATTTAGATATACAATACAAAGCAATGCATTAAAATCCAGCGTGAGGTTTCAATTATTTATAAGCCGCTCGACCATGCCCTATTACCATTGACATGACAATTTATTCGATATCCAAATAAACAGTTTCCTAGGGACTACGTAGGCGAAGTCGCTGACCGACAGCTAGTATATTACTAGACGTATGAGTGCGTTCGAAATGACGCTAAAGAAACTGTAATAAGTAGGTTCTAATTCATCATTGAAATTGTTATTTACTTTTCGAGTTTCTTAAGTTTGATATTTGCTTTTGTTGCCGTTTTCGGATGGCCGTTTTAAATCAAAACTAATATTTGAACTGTTAAATATAGTACTTTCGTTCGCACATTTTGTTTGTTCATGGATATTAAGAACAATCAGAAATAAAAATGGTCAGGAAAAGACCAAAACGTTGCCGAAAGGTGACTTCGTTTCGCCAAACTTCACCCCTTTTTGAAGATTAAACTTAATGTTTTTATATGACTGCAATGGCGCAACATTTTCATTTTTCATTTGGGGTCGAGAGTGAGATATCGTATGGGTGCACGCACAGACTAAGAAGAAGATACTGGTGCACCCCAAAAAGTGAAATTAGGACGTAGACAAAACGTTATCGAGTTTGAGATACTACGCGTGTCTTTTCAAAGGTAAAGCGATTGTGCTAGCGATTTATAATAAAAACTTAGTACTCAAACTTAAATGAATATTTGTGTTGAATGCTGGCCTTAGACAATTCCAATTATTGTCAAATTGGCGATATCCTTCATTCAATATCTCCCAAAAAACGTCTCGATTGCAAACTCTATCACATGTCAAATAGCTGTAGCATGAAGTTCGTGAATATCTCTCAAATATCAAACGGGAAGGGATTGCGATAGATCTTAAAATTAGACTTCTGTGGTCTAATTGTCTATTTCAACGTAGGGGTTGAAGATATTGAATTGTTCAACAATACCTAATGAATTTGCAGTTAATAGCAATTTTTTCGACATTGACAGTTTATATCAGTTTACTAATTCTTTTACCTGTTGTTTTTTTATGAGTAGCTATCAATAATTATACTTCCGTTAACGCTTGTTAAATTATTGCAGCCCTGTCTCATGTTCCCTATGTCTTTGATAGAAATAACCAATCTATCATTAGAATATTGGCTTTAATCAACATAAAAATATTAGTTACATTAAATATATACTGAATTCATATTTACAATGTCAAATGAACAATAGACAACATATAAATACTACATTCACCCCTCTCATGTTATTTAGTTTCTAACAAAATCCTTGAGATATTCAGGAATCTTCTTATCACGTGACGACCGACGCAAAACCTCGGTACCTTCTTCTTGAGTGCCAGATGAAGAGGCAGTAGCGTCAGTCTCTCTAGGAAAACTACCTGATTTATCACCTGTAACAACGGGTACATCTGCAGCATCAACTCCCTCATCAAAATCGTAGTCCTCTGTCGGTAGTTGGGCTAATTGTCTATTTGAAACCGTGGTTTCACGTCCATCAGATAAGCGAACATGAGAATAATGAGGATTTCCATGAAGTAATTCTACTTCTTCTACGGCAGGATTAAATTTTGATGTTCTAACGTTCTTTTTCATTAGTACTGGACCGGGAATCAATAACCATGAAGGTATGGTATCCCCTGTCGGTGATCGACGTGTATGGCGAAATAGATGCTCATGTGGTGTTTCATTGGTAGCTGTGCACAGGAGTGATCGTATAGAATGCAAGGCGACGTTTAATACTTGTTCCCAACATGAACTATCTAAACCATTTGACTTAAGACTGAGTTGAATAGTTTTCCAAAGCGTCCCATTCAAGCGTTCCACCTGTCCGTTTCCCTGAGGATTGTATGGAGTAGTACAGCTTGAGGCAACACCATAGGTTGTTAGAAATTGTTTTATTTCATCCGATGCAAAGGCCGTTCCTCTATCTGAATGAATATAAGCGGGTGCTCCAAAAGTAAGGAATAAATCTTTAAGACATTTAATGACAGATTGTGAAGATAAATCAGAACATGGATAGGCAAACGGAAATCTTGAATATTCATCAATTATCGTGAGTATATATTTGTTACGAGAAATCGTAGGCAAAGGACCCATTATTACGATATATCGCGGCTTAATTTCTGCACATATAGGACATGACGCCGTAATAGATTTTACGTCATTAATCGAGTATGGTAAATTCTTTGTTCGAATCCAATGCCACATTCTTACAACACCTGGATGGCACAATAACTTATGCAAGTCATATAACTTGTTAGTACTAAGGCTAGCGCAAACTCTAGACAATGTATCGGCGGAAACGTTTTCTTTGCCTGGCCGATATACTATATCATACTTAAAGCAAGACAATTCTAGCCGCCATCTTTCAATTTTCTCATTTTTGATCTTGCTGTTATGTCTCTGATTTAACATAAAAGATACTGATCTTTGATCTGTCACTAGCAAAAAATGTCTGCCAACTAGAAAATGACGCCATTTTCGTAAAGACTCAACGATAGAATAGGCTTCTTTTTCAATAGAAGAATGCTTTTTCTCGGCGTCATTTAATGATCGTGAAAAAAATGCCACTGGCCTTTCATTTTGAGACAAGGTTCCAGCAATAGCGTATTCTGATGCATCGGTTACTATCGTTAAGAGATTAGTTTCGTTTAAACTTATCAGAGCTGCCTTAGCGATATCTCTTTTAAGTTGTTGAAAACTGTCACTTAGCTCCGTGAGTGGTAATTTTGCTCGTACGAGTGGTTGGATTTTAGCTGAAAAGTTAGGCACCCATTTTGAGTAATGAGCAAACATTCCAAGTGCTCTCTTTAAGGAAGCAGTATTATTAGGTAAAGGTAAATCCATTAATGGCTTTAGACGATTTTTGTCTGGTGTAATTATGTTATTACTAATTGTATATTATAGATTAATAGTTTCACTTGCAAAAGCACACTTATCTTTATTAAGAGTTAGATTATATTTAGCAACCGCTTCCATGAATTTTGATAAGTTCTCATCATGATCTTCTTTTGTTTTCCTACAAACTGTATCGTCATCTAAATAAGCATACGTCCCCTTTAGCTTATCTTTTTGTATGACGTACTTTAAAGTTCGTTGAAAGGCTGCTACTCCATTAGTGACGCCAAACGGAATGCGAGTAAATTGATATAAGTTCCTGCAAGCTTCAAACGCTGTAAATAGTCGTTCTTTCTCTAATATTGGAACTTGGTGGTGAGCAGATTTTAAACCAATTTAACTAAAATAGTTATATCTTGAAACTCTAGATATTATTGAATCAATTTTTGGTAAAGGAAAGGTATCTAATTCAGTATAACGATTTTTGGTTCGGGAATAATCTACCACCATTCTCCTACGATGTGTAGTTCCACCCGTTACTAGAACTTGAGCTCTCCATGGTGATACGCTTGGTTCAATAACTCCATCTTTCAGCAATTTTTCAGGCTGAAAGATGGAGTTATTTTAAGAATATAAGGAAAGGTTAGAGAATATAGTAGCTGGAGGTACTGAAGCCTGCATTACATTGGATTTTTGAAGTGGTTCTCTGTCTCCATCTGAATTCTAAAGATCTGTGATGTTTTAAAATATCATGCCCAATAATAACATCTGCAACCTATGTGCAGATTTATTATAAGCAATGGATGGCGCGTGTAACTATGTTCATTCAATTTTATTGTAGCATGACAAAGTCCGTTAACGTATGACATCTGCCTTTTCCGTCGCGTAGCAATGGCTCAATTCTCATCCGACAATGTTGAATAAGGTATTTCACTGACAGCATTGATTTGTGTCTTTAAAACTGAGCTTTCGGTAATCGCA